GCTGAATCGGGGAAGCCAGGCGCAGAGCAGCTCCAATTGTCCAGCTGCCCAGAGCACTTCTGGGTTCCTGATGGTGCCGGACCATCAGGATTGCCGGAGCATTGAATGCCGGACCAATGGAGTTTTACTGTAATTTCTTTGCAGATGCAAGTGGGTTGGACTTGAAACGGAGTCAGCAATCAAGTGTAGTGTGTTGGGTCGACACCCTGTACCTCTAAGGCATGAGAATTTTTGCCATCACCTACTTAAAAAGTGAAGCAAAACAAAAATTCCCGAACATTACAGAAACAGAAATCTATCAATCACCAAAATCACTTCACCATTTCCAAGCTTTAAGACAACTTTGGAGGAAACCTGAACTAACTCGTGCATTTTCAGATAAGAATGAGCTTTGGTTTGGGGATTTTTGGTTTCATTTGGATTATAAATGCAAAGTGAATATTAGCCTGTAGAGGTTGCTGGTTTATAGCGAATGATACTCGAGGAAGTGAAATTCAAGAGTCACACAAATGGGCTGTGTCTAGACTGGCCAGTTTTTCTGGAAAATCAGCCGCTTTTCCGGAAGAACTTGCCAGCTGTCTACACTGGCCGCTTGAATTTCTGCAAAAGCACTGACTTTGCAAAAGGGCCAGTGTAGACAGCTGAGATTTGTTTTCTGCAAAAAAGCCCCGGTCGCGAAAATGGAGATTGGGGCTTTTTTGCGGAAAAGCTCATCTAGATTGACCACGGACGCTTTTCCGCAAAAAGTGCTTTTGTGGAAAAGCATCCTGCCAATCTAGACGCGCTTTTCCGAAAATGCTTTTAACGGAAAACTTTTCCATTAAAAGCATTTGCGGAAAATCATGCCAGTGTAGATGTAGCCATGGAGATTACTGACCTGTAACGGGATGTTTTTCAAGATCTGTCATCTCTATATGTATTCCACAGAATGGAATGGAATGGGATGGAGATTTGTAGCAAGTCATATCTGATGGACTGCACGGCTACGTCTACATTGGCCCCTTTTCCGGAAGGGGCATGGTAATTTTTGAAATCGCAATAGGGAAATGCGCGGGGGATTTAAATATCCCCCGCGGCATTTAAATAAAAATGTCCGCCGCTTTTTTCCGGCTTTTAGAAAAGCCGGAAAAGAGCGTCTACACTGGCCCCGATCCTCCGGAAAAAAAGCCCTTTTCCGGAGGATGTTATTCCTAGCCTGTAGTCTAGACACACCCAAAGAGTTAGCTGTTTGCTCAAGATGGTACAAGTGTAGGAATGCTCTGTTGACTGTCAACAAGTTCTGGGACAGGACCCAAGGCCATGCACCTGGTATGGGAGTGCAGGGGGCTTGGGAAGATCAAATAGCTATCTTTGCTGTATGTTTCCCACCTGATAATGCTAATTATTTGGCCTGGGAAAATATGCAAAGTATCAACAAGCTAATTATTGGATGTGAGAAAATATGTACCAATGATCTTGTTAGGTTCTCAAAACAATAGGGCACATTACTATAGATCCAACAGTATATAAGTGCCGGGGATATTCCTAACATTGGAACCTTGGCGTAGACCAAAGCCGCAGAAGGTGCTACATACCGGCCACTAGGGTCTGTTCGCTGTCCTTCTTCAGGGGGTTCCCGACAGCAGAAGGGACATATGCATTGCATTTTATTCTGAGGCTTACTTAGGCTTAATAAGCATTGTACTTTCTTAGTAAGCATTGCATTTTACTTGAAGAAAGGCTTAGGCTTAATAAGCATTGTATCCTATTCTAAGATTTTTTTCTAAGATTTCTTTAGGCTTAATAAGTATTGTATTTTATTCTAAGATTTGTTTAACAAGCATTGTACTTTATTCTAATATTAAGCATTGTATTTTACCTTAATATTTGCTTAGTAAAATCTTTAAACCTTCACCCAATTTGTGTGCTTATTGCCTCTGAATCCCTTAAGGGAAGAACCATTGCCTCTTGGCAATACACTTGAGCACATGCTGGCTCCCTTTGATCCTCTTTACACTTGTGGGATACATTTTCACATTTAAGATCTTTCCCTTCTATCTCAAAAATATAGAAATACTTACAAATATTAACTGCAATCATGCTGACCTATCTCTCTGCTTCCAGACATCTTTTTAATGTAGAGTAGAAGGTCAGATCTACATCAAAAGAGCCTGAAATAATTTATTTCACTATACTGACCCCTGCAGAGCTTAACAAAAAGCAAGCAGATGTTTAGCTCATGAATGTACCTCCACAGTACTGCCTTGTGCGAATGCATTAACAGGGCCTTTGTAACCTTCAAGGAAAAATTCCCTCAGCCCACGAGAACAAAACTGTTGGCAGATTACAAAACCCTATGACTATCAAGAAGAACACCCCTTCCTCCTGTATTTAAGAGCATTATGATGTCTTTTTAAAAAATTAAATACCAAGAAGACATGCCATTTAAAGATAGTGTCTGCAGGCAATACGTAAAATAATTTTTTCTCCATTCATTAAGATAAGAGATTTCATAAAGAAGATGTCAATTGACTGTCGAGACACACCAAATTCAACATTAGGTGTCAGTAAGGATTAATAATTAAGGCTATGGGTCAGAAAACACGAGTCAACATGTATTAATACAAAAAAAATCTATTTGCAGTAGAGTGAAAATGGATGACTCTAAAATCATTAGTGAATTATACTGAAAGATGGCTAAGCTTAATGCTCTTGTATTCTGTTGGCAATTTATTTTCCAAATAACTCCATTCTCACATTTCAAATCATCCTGTAAAACTCACTTGGTTTGGCTGACTTTCCACCACTAACTTTCTCTTCTCACATAATCTACGTGTATTCATGTACTTCACCTTTTGCACTCTAATCATAAGTCCCCAAACGAATCCTGAAGAAAAAAAAATGCAAATTATCATTATTCTTCCCACCCTTTCATTACCTTTGTCAGTTTTCACTCTGTTTTGACTGGGGCTGGCCAGATAACCAGAAACCCAGTTAGCAAGAAATCAAGGCTTTGACATTTGTTTACATTCTGCCCCAGAAGGACACCTACACTTTTTTGAACTCTCTTTCACACACCAGGTTTCACAGAGCATCTCTTATTCATACCCACCCACAGTGGTTAAGACACTTGTCTAGAATGTGGAAGAGCTAGGTTCAAGTCATTACCCAACCTGATTTGAAGTAGGGATGTTAAATATCAGTTAACTAAATAGCTGATTAACCTCATGAATTTTTATCGGTTACTCAACTATTCTATAATCCCTCGGGGGGAGTGCTGGCAACCAGTGCAGTCCAGCCCCACCCCTGAGGAACCCCCTGCCACTCCACACTGCTGCCTCTGTGGGGTACCAGGCGGGAGCTGGTCCACAAGGGGAGACAGTTTAAAAACCAGCTCCCCTCGCAAATTGTCTGCATGTCGCCTTGTACTGCTGCCTCTAATACAGAGGCAGCAGCGCAGGGTGGCAGCAGTCCCTGTCCAGGGGGGTCTGAGCTCCCGGACCCAATGCAAGCCAGAACTGAGCCAGGCTGCCTGCCCACCTACCAGGCTCCTAAATACACTTTAAATGCAGAGCTGCAGCTGGGGTAGGTCCCAGACCTGGCATAAGCTGGGACTGAGCCGGGCTGCTGGCTAGCCTGCTAAAAAATTTACTGGCAAGGGGAAGGGGGCATGTAGTCTGTAGCATTAACCTATAAGCTTTTGCTTATTGGTTAATCGACTACACTATTGCATCCCTAACTTGAGGTAGAAACCACATAAATAGGCAGGTTAGTGCCCTCACCATTAGCCTCTTCCTAGACCATCTAGGAGTGGTCTCTTCCTTTGACCACAAATTCTGTTCTGGATCTGAGAAATCTTCCTAATGAAGTATGTGTCAAAACCAAACCATATCCATGAAAAGTTCTGGGTTTTGACAAATTACTGTTTTCTGATGAAAAATGCCCACCAGCTTTACTTTCAAGAAATTTGATTGTAAACTTGTGAATACAGAGAGCTGTTCTTTCAAGTGCCATGCAAACCTATTACAGTAAACTTACGATAATCTGGCACCTTTAGGACCCAGGGGGTGCCGGATTATCAGATATGCCAGAGTACCAGAAGGGGGCTATGAGGGGTGTGGGGTGGGGGTGAAGGGTCAGCAGGGAACTGCGCAGTGTGGGAGAGGGTAGCGCTGCGGGACCAACCTGGCAGCACCCCAGCTGCTCTGCCCCCG